CCATTGGACTCCTCGGGGTATATGGGTCCTGCTTAATGATTTCTTACTTTCTAGTTTGTTTGTTTCTAAAAATTTGCCACCAAGCCCAAGGTTTATTTAAACCATATTATGGCAGTTAACTTTGTTTTCACAATTTGGCCTCCAAGTAATTATTGGACCAGATCGTCCATACATATCTTGTGCTGAGAGATCTTTTGCTGCAATTGAGAAGCAAACCCACTCAGTTAATGAACATGAGCGCCATCTAACGCCCAAATGGAGTAAGTGTTGGTAACCACAGTAATATACAAAGGAATTTAGGGTACGTGTCAAAGGATTTAGGACTATTGCCATTTGGTTGGTTGATTGGTCATGTGCTTCTAATATTTGTGACCTATTTTTTTACATTACCGCAGTCGATTCTATGATTCCACACCACAACCCGTTGAGTTAGTTTTTGCCTGAATTTAAAACTAAGAAATATTTTTAGAGATAAACACTTGTAAATATGTCTTTTTATTGGTGGAAAAGCATATGATTTACAGTTTCAAATAATGTTTAAATTTTATAACAATTTTATATTTTCAGAATAACTGTGAAAATAGTATGGCGTGCTCCAAATACCCCACATCCAGTTTTCCGTAAACAATAGTATGGTACTATTGTTATAATTAATGGACCTTTATGGATACATTATTATTATTAACTCAAGTTTATATTTTCTTCAGATTTTTTCAATTTTTTCCTAATGTCATTTTTTGTTTGTTTCAAGATCCCATCTAGTATACCACATTACATTAAGTAATTATGTCTTCTTATGGGTGTGCATGACAGTTGGATTTACATTTGCTTTTGTGCGTATTGAATTAATTTCATTGTAGCTTTGTTATTTTTCAAAATTCTTAAATTTTTGTTTTCAGAAAACACTTTCCCTTGTTTACTTCCTTTAAGTAAGGCTGTATACCTATTTAAGCAGATTTTATGGGAATTTGTATGAACATAAATTATCATTATGCATTTTTCATCTCTAAAAATGAAAAAAGGGATTAGGAAAGAGAACTGCCAAGACATTATGATAGAAATACTATTCAGAAGAAGTCTTAAGAGTTATGTTTCCTTTTGGACTCCAATCCTCTCTGGCTGTGCTCCTTAGCAGGCCATTTACCATTTGTGGTTCATTTTCCACATCTGTGAAATCAGGTGTGTGAATCAGAAAATTCCCCAGCCCTTATACCCTGAGAAGATAATTAAAACCAACCACTACTTTCCCAGTAAAAGTTAATAATCATAGTGTTTCATACTGGATAGGAATGAATGCTTGTTATGTACCAGCTTAAGCTGGTATACATTATTATCTCCATATTATAGATGCCGAGTTTTAGAGAAGTAGTTTGCTCACAATCATATAGCAAATAAGTGATAGGTTAGATTCTGAAGCCTATGACAACTTCCAAAGAGACAACATTCTTTCCAGCACCCGTAAACTGCCATGTGGTTGCTCACAATCATGAGCCGTCCTCTAATGACCAACACTCCGAGATGAAGAGCTTTCTCTTTGTAGTCCCTTTGTCCGTAGGCACGAGGGGCCATGTAAAATGCCGTGGAGGAGCCTGGGTTGTTTGTTACCCACCCCAAAGCAGATGTGTTGAAGTCTCAAAGAAACCTCTGTTTCCAGCCAACCGAAATGCATTGTCAGGGTGCAGTTCTATACTATTTGTTAATATTTTAATTGAACATGTATTTTTGTTGCTTTGAAAAGCATCCAAAAGCATAGTTAATGGTAGCAGACAGTTTTAAAGAGATTGAAGCCCAGCTTGTAAATCAGTGAGAAATATGTGAAAATATATTTTGAAATTTCAGCTAATATGCCATATACCTTATAAAACTATTGATTTTAAAATAAATTACTGCTTTTAATAATAATAACAATGTCTTTAAGAGATAAACAGGGATATTGTGTCTCCTGAGGCAGGATAGAATATTGTGTCTCTTTCTCAAAACTGAAAGGTAGTATATATATGTTTATGCATGTGAAGGAATTTACACAATGCTGGTTGGCTAAAACTGCTGGGAAAGAGTAGAGCTATGTAAATAAACTGGCCCTTGCAGTGTTGATACTTTGTAAATATATCTGTGAAACTTAATGTTCTACTTGTAGTTGGTTCTCGAACTTTGGGTGCACATTAGAAACCTTAGAGAAGGTTAAACGTCCCACTGGCCAAGTCTCATTCCAGATGCATTAAATTAGAATCTCTGTGAGTGAGATCCCAAACTGCAATTTAAAACTCCCCAAGTCAGAGTCACGCTGTCTAACACCCAACTAAAAATTACAAGGCATGCAGAAAAGCTGAAAAATATGATCTATAATGATGAGAAAATCTAATCAATCAATCAAACTGATACATAACTAAAACAGATATTAGAATTAGCAGACAAGAGTATTAAATAAATTATGTAAACTGTATTTCATATGTTAAAAAGTTAATTTGGCACCTTAAAGATGAAAAGAAATCCCAAATTGAACTTCTAGAGAAGAAAATCACAGTGACTGAGATGAAAAATATACCAGATATGATTAACAAAAGATTATATATTACAAAAGAAAAGATTAATAAATTTGAAGACATTGCAGCAGAAATAATCTGAAATAAACAGAGAGAGAAAAAATATATTTTAAATGAACAGATCATCGGTTAACTGTGGAAATACTTCAAGCATTCTAATAAACATGTAATTAGTGTCTCCAAGAGGGAAGGGTAGGTAGAAAATATATGTGAAGAAAAATTGTCTGAATTTTTCCAAATATGATGAAAACCATACGGTCCACAGATCTAAAAAACATGAACAAACTCCAAACACAAGAAACATGAAGGGAACAGCATCAAAAGAAATCATAACTGAATTTTCAAAACTAGAGAAAAGTAGAAAAATTTAAAGCAGTCAGAAGAAAAAGATGTAAAGATGCTCTTTGACTCACAGTGGCATTATGTCCCAATAAATGCTTTGTAAGTTAAACATATTGTGACTTGAAAATCCATTTTATACACCTGACCTACCAAACATCATCCTTAGCCTAGCCTACTTTAATCATGCTTAGAACACAATATAATATCAACCTACAATTCTATAACCAGTGAAAATCTATTTCAGATATGAAGGCAAAATAAAGAATTTTTTCAAACATAAAACTGAAAGAATTCATCACTGGTAGACCTACAGTTTAAAAAAATTAAAGTCTTTTAGGTAGAAGAAAAATGATGCCAGATGTAAATATGGGTGTAAACAAAAGACTGAAGGTCACCTTAAGTGGTGACTTCAGTACCATACCCTAGACTTCTGCTGTCTGTCTCACCACATCCTGAGCTGGAACGTGAGGGTGCTCCTGACTGAGCTTCACATTTTCTTAAAAGAAGAAAAATACATGTGACAAGAAGAGGAACACAGTGATAAGAACTTGGTCCCTGACCTGCTATGGGGAGCAGAGCTAGCTGCCTAATAATCTGTACCATTCACCTGGACACTAAGAGGCTAATAAAAGTCTATAGTTTTAGGTGTCTGTATTTTAGGGTTAAACTGATAATGCACATTGACATTTACCTTAATTAAAACAATTAATTTTAAAGCTGTAAAGTTGTACCTTCTACATTAAGAACTTTGATGTACTTGTATTTTTTGTCCACATGAAGACACAGATGATCCAGAACACCCTAATGAAAATGCCATTTTTTTCTCACTAATCTGAAATGCCAATCCTGTCATTTATCAATCACCTATATATGCATGAAAGTCTTTCTGGGCTATTTGTTTTATTAGTTTATGTCTCTATGCATCAACAGCATGATATCTGTGTACAATTAGATATATTTATACAAAGACTTGATATTTCATAGGGCAAATATTTCAACCTTTTCTTCTTTCTCAAATGCATCTTGGCCCTTCCTAGCATATTCAATTTTTAAATGAATTTTAGAATGAGTTTTTAAGGAGTAGATGAAGAGGTTACTAGGACATTAGCTGGATCACATTGGTTTCAACCTGTCTTATCATTGGTGGACACCCACCAGAGGCTCCAGGACAGCAGCCAGTCCAAGCCGGCATGCTCACAGCTCTCACAGCAGTGCACACAGGAGCAAAGCAATGCACACAGGAGCAAAGCGCTCACGCTGCGGCCCAGCGGGCATCTAGGGGTATGGTCTCCTCCCCTTCTCCCAGAGCCCCCCACATTCTCCTAGGAAAAAGGACAGCATCTTCCAGTTAGTCAGCATTAACTTCGGTTATTTTGGTACAATTCATGTGGATACAACTTTATTACTGTAATCTCATTTAAGTATATAATAACTGTACATTGAGAGCCCCTTCGAGGTATGGATTAGACAGACATTTATCAGATTCTCAGAGTAAAAATATACAGCACTTATTTATTCTTCAGGTTTTCAATAGACTCTTCTTGACAGAGTCAAGAGTTGAATTCTTTGTAACTTCATTTCAATTCTGTGTTGGGGAATTTAGGCAACTTATTCAGCACTGAGCACTTACTACTGAGTGCCTGCTTTGCTCTTGGTACAGAGCTAAGTGTTAAATATTAAGCAGTAAGGAAATAGATATGGATCCTTCTTTCACGGGAAAAACTGAATGCCAAAATAAACAGGTATATAAATATTTAATTGATAATTGTATTTAATGACATGAAGGAAAATAGAGTTTTATGTAAGAATAAACAACTAGAAGAAGAATAATACATTTTCCATGTTTAGAGCCTATCATGTATGAAACAAATGAAACCCGATTAACTTGCAGCATGACTAGTTTTATGTAGCAAATTAAATGTAGTTTTATCCTATAATAAATGCATTTATTCATTTATTCCACAACATCCATGTTCATCTAGATAGTGGGCTGACAAAAATGACCAAGGTCTTTGAGGAGTTCATAGTTGAATGGTTTTCGTAATTAGCAGTACTTCCCATGAAAATAATTGCATACCCAATGAAAACATATATTTCTTTCTTTTTTAATTTTAGATGAGAATAGGCATTCACTCAGGCTCTGTGCTGGCTGGAGTTGTTGGGGTAAGAATGCCCCGATATTGCCTGTTTGGAAATAATGTTACTCTGGCGAGCAAATTCGAATCGGGAAGTCACCCTCGGCGCATCAATGTCAGCCCAACCACTTACCAGTAAGTACTCTCTGGTCTCCTCTGCTTGTCTTTGGCACTCCCCTGAGCTAATATCCTGTCATTTGTAAGCCCCTGTACTTTTTCTTTTTCTGTTGTTATCTAAGATAGTGTGAGTAGATCTGCCCAGTGTGAAAAGCAGCAATGGTGACACATAAGTTTTATTTGCATTCTGAGAGAGTTCACGGAAAACATGACTTGAACGAGAGGTAAATACAAGTTGGTCATTTCCCGCAGTCTCTGTGTTTCTGAGGTGTACCTGTTTAAAATGCAGGAGAGCAAATTTGAGGGTCCACATTGCACTAGAAATCTTAATTATTTTCAAAATGTTCCTCAATGTTTATGAAAATCAAAAGAATAAGATAGAGAAGGTGGTCTTCTTTTTTTTGAATAATAAATATAAATAAGGACTCTCTTAAATGAAATATATACTGGGTACAGAGTAAAATTTCAACCCTATTTATTATAAATGTCTTATCTGACAACTTCACACATTTTTGACAGCAGAATTCATCCTTATTTTGTACCTGGTAGATGACATCTCACTCAATTCCACATGAGCAGTGACCACATCTGCTTGGCTCGGCATTATATACCCAGAACCTACAAAAATGTTTAGCACATCATACACCTTCTATAAATATTTACTGAATTAATCAGTAAGTGCATTAATAAGATGGACTTCTCTGGAATAACAAAATGGTATGACTGTCTCGCCTCTGTTAGACTTTGGCTTTTTGCTGAGTATTGTGTGCAAGCTCTTTAATTAGTACATCATATAGGTGACTTAGAAATTATTATAAAACTGTACTGTAAAAAGAGAGATTATTGACATTTTTTATTAACATGGCTACAAAAACACCCTTAAGCAGAAAATCTGAATATAAAGGTAACACAATTTGATTATAAAAATAAACAATATGCTGATACTTGGAAGTGTTTCATAGCACAGTTATATAGAGGGAAGTTTAAATCGTTAGGATGATGTTTTCCAAATCATCTGGATTTCCAGAATCCTGAGGAGCAGAAGAGAAAGGAGACTGAAGTTACAAATATAAAATAAGAGAAAGTGGCGTAAGAACTACCTGTCATTTTAGGGTATTTTTTATAGGATTTGCCTTTTAAAAATTTCTTCCAATTTCCTTACACAATTCTGGCTATATTATAGATGGTCAGGCAATAATTTCCATATTAAGTTGAATTTTAGAAGCCTCTCTAAATGGGTGATTCTGACACTGTGCTGGACCACGAATTGAGGAAAAGTTTCTGAAGAGCAGCTACCTCATCTCTATCCTCTTACCACAGTTACAATTTTTCCCGTCACGGTACTCATACTCATGTTTCATGTCTGTGCAACACAATGTATATTTACATCTGCTATGGAAACTCAATTTTTAAAAATAATGTATAAAGAATAAATAACTGTGTTAGGAGTTTACACCCTGAGCTTAGCCATCACAGCCGTAGTGGCTTTGTTTATAGGAGGCCATCAAAGGAAACCCCACAGCCACACCAGGGTCTGTGCGTTTGGTGCCGTCTCTGAGTTTTCATAATCTTTTTCAGATCAGTTGAATCAGTGATTATCTTTCATCAATAGGCCTGAAGGACTGAATCATTTCAAGCACTGCAACTGTTGGTATATTTTGTTCTGTTTTCTCTGTTCCCCCCTCCCGCAAAACAGAACAAAAATGGAGCCAAAAATAGACATACTGAGCTGCTGTGTACAGACAGTTTCTCTGACTGACACCAAATCATCTAATTCCTACTAATGTTTTATAAACATATTTGTACATTTAGTCTATTCTCAAATAACCCTTTTCTTTTCTCTTTCCCTGTGTTCCTCACTCCTTTTCTTTTTTTGACAAATACTTGTTGAGTACCTACTATATTTCAAGCACTGTGATAGGCACTAATGTTACAACTATGCACCTCATCAGTGTGAAATACGGTTTCTGGCCTCCTGAAGGAGACCATAGACTAAATGCTAGATGTATCCAAGTAAACAATGAATTAAATAGACTAGTTTTAAGATCAAGAAACCCTCCTTAGAGTATTAAAGCAGGAGAAGGAATGGATTAAAATGAGGATGAAGAGCTAAACCGAAGTCAGACCAGCCAATGGTAGTTAGTCAAGTTAAGGCGTTTCAACCTAACTCTAGGAGCAACCAAGAATATTGAAGAGTTTTAAGCAGGGGAGTGACTTGACCAGATTTATACTTTAAAAAGATTACTAAGGTTGTAGAAAGAACAGATTAGGAGGGGGAAGGAGTAGCAAACTAGTAATTGGAAGCAGGTAATCCTATCCTTCAGTTTTTGATAGAAGCACAGCTGATTTCTGAGACCCTAGAGTCCCAGTCATTTGCTTTTAACTTGTCTTTCTGTGCTAGAGAAGAGTCGTTGGACCAGTGATTCTTAAGCATTCCACCTAGGATGCCATGAAAAACACCTTGGCTCCTGGTTAAGTTTCTAGCAAATTAAATATAGGTATATGATTTCAGTGTGTCTGGGTTTTCAGATTCTGAATCTTTTTGTGCTTAAGTACTTTCTGTTTGTGTCATCCACCCCAATCTGTACAGTTCAGCTGCATAATTGTTACATTCCTCACTGCACAGGTGATTTATGAACACACAGGTATAGAGTCATTAGGACATTCACAGTGAAAGCCAGGATTGACATCTGAAGGATATGCTCTAATAGGAGACAAAATTGTACTTTCTTAAAGCAAGTCAGAATTCGTGAAATAAAAATAAGTTTTAAGCTCATGAGAACTTGAAATTTTTATTTTTTCCCCTGAATTAAACTCTGTAGAATATTAAACTCTGTCCAATATTGTCTGGTCATCTTGAAAACTTCAGAGGTTTATATTGAATTTATTATTAGTAAGACTATATGATTATCATACATTTTGAGAGAATGAATTATTCAGATATTATGATAAATTAAAATAATTTCATGAATAATTTATTCCAAATACATCTTGCCTAATATATTTAAGTAGCTGATATTTTAAAAAAACATTATAAATATTTTAAGTGCTAAAAATTAAAGGAAATAATACCCTTAAGAATCTCAACACTGGTTTAATACTTCATTATATTTACTTTGGTCATTAATTAATAAAATAAATTAAACATTTCCTTCGGAACTTTTCTCCCTTTCATTGTGACAAATACCCTAATGAATTGGTATGTTTCAAAGTCTGGTGTTTTTTTTATTTTTTAAATATTTTATTTATTTACTTTTAGAGAGAGGGGGAGGGAGGGAGAAAGAGAAGGAGAGAAACATCAGTGTGTGGTTGCCTGTCACACACCCAACTTGGGACCTGGCCTGCAACCCAGGCATGTGCCCTGACAGGGAATCAAACCAGTGACCCTTTGGTTCGTAGGCCTGCATTCAATCCACTGAGCTACACCACCTAGGGCCAAAGTCTGGTGTTTTATACATTAACTTTCTCATATACATACATAAAAAATAGAATTTTATTTTACATGTTTTAATTCATGTAAATGATATGTTAATGTGTGAACCTTTCTCTTTTTAAAATTTCATACTTTAAGATCTGTCCATGCTGAGACATATATGTGTAGATCAACATTTTAATTACTATAAAACATTTCAGTGTATGACTACACCATATTTTAATTTTACTTATCTATACTTCTATTGATGAACACATCGGGGTTTTTGTAATTTTTAATTATTACAAAGTATGTTCCCATGAACATTATATACCTGCTATTATATGTTAGCTACTTTACATTTCATATGATCTTAATAACTGTTTCCTATATATTATTAGAATTGAAATAGTCAGATATTGTTTATCTCAAAATTCATTTGGACATGAGGAATGAAGATTTTAAAATGAGGGCCATGACTTTCATGTGTTGATCTTCATTTTCCCAGATTCAGTGTGAGTCACCCTGTTGCATGCAATAATGCACAAGGACCATTTCCTCTTCACCCAGAGCACTTCATTGCTAGTTTAATTTCTGGACAAAAAGAAATCTTTAATGAGTTCTGATTTTTTCATGTTTGATGTTTTCATTTCTGTCCAATGAATGTAATATTTACCATTTTTCTTCCTACTCATCCAAATTTAGAAATAACAGACACATTACAAACAATTATCTTTTAACATCAAGTTACTGATCTGTGAAATTGAAATAATTGCTTTTACTATGGACAGTTTCACCAAATTTGGAAATAGCATGAATAATCAAATGATTCGCCCAAGCAAATTATTACTTGTAATTTCTTGCCACATACAAACTAAAAATGTAGAAAGACTCTCTAATTACTTTGATATAAAGTTTTCCTTGTACTTTAAACATTTTTGCTTTTTCATTTTACAGTTGATCTATCTCTGGACTTTTCAGAATGCCTATTTTTTATTCACTGTGAAAGCCCCCTTCTTCTGTTAAAAACCAAGTTGCCGAACAGGTACTTCTATGTAAACAGCTCACTATATCAGAGGATGTGCAACTAAGCAGGATGGGGTGGTTAAGTACAGAAGCTCTAGAATCAGAGTTCTTAGGTTGGAATCGAGCCTTTAAAACTTATTGTCTGTGAAATTTAATAACTTCATTTCCTTGAGCCCAGTTTTCTCATCTTTAAAGTTGGTACCTATTCAGAAGTTTGTTAGGATTGAATATGATGTGTATAAAGCTCCTAATATTTGAAACACATACGTATTCATTTATTGCTTCATCTTGTTTTTCCCATGAAGGAAGAGACTAGCTTCTCCTGCACTTGAGTCTCATATTTAATAAGTGTAGCCATGTTGAATGATGTGTAATAACTGTTATTATACACCTCATCTGATAATCCCAAAGATGCAGGTTTGGTAATTTGGGCAAAGTTTTTATTAGCTAAGGCATCTTACTGATAACTAAATTATAATTGTGTGATTAAAAACTGTTTTCTTGGCAAATCCCCACATTTAAGCAAGGGCACATAATTACATATATTATAAGTAGATTACCATAAACTTTGTGGTTTAAA